TCAGCCCGCCCGGCTACCCTAGACTGTGAGTGTCCCCAGGGTCCCCGCTGCGGTGGGGAGCGAGGGATGGGAGTGGCCGAGAGGAACCATGTTGGATGGGGGTAAACTGAGGCACAGAGACACAACGGAAGTAAGAGACTCTGCCTCTCTCTCTGGCCCCCAGCCCTGTCCATCCACCAGCTCGCGGCCCAGGGGGAGCTGAGCCAGCTAAAGGAGCATTTGAGGAAAGGTGCGTGTCTACACGCGTGTGCCGGCGTGTCCACACCTGTCTGGCATGTGCGTGCGATTTGCATGTTCAGCCACCATGCTTCCTGTGAGTGTCCGCGTGTGTGTGAGCCTGTGTACACGTGTACCCCACTTCAGCCCTGCCCCGGGGACATCAGGGAGAGGGGACAGAGGCACAGGCAGGTACCGCCCCCTCTCCTGCAGGCGACAACCTCATCAACAAACCAGATGAGCGTGGCTTCACCCCCCTGATCTGGGCCTCGGCCTTCGGGGAGATCGAGACCGTCCGCTTCCTGCTGGAGTGGGTGAGCGTCAGCCTAGTTGGGGGATCCTGGGACTCATGAGTGGGCTGGGGTCTCGGGAGAGATTTTTTTTGGAGAGATTTTACGCCAACTGCTGGTCCCTCATTCATTTATTTTAATTTGACCAGAGAGAGACACAGAGAGAGAGAGAGAAAGTGAGAAAGCAAGCTGCCAGGTGCGGGACTTGAACCATGGTTGGCCACATATGAGTGTCCAACACCTTAACCACCACACCACCTGCTGGTCTTAGTTTTTTATTGTTTTTTTTTTTTTGGAGAGATTTTCACTGTAGGGCGCGTGCGCTCGCCAGACAGACAGAGAGAGACATAGAGACAGAAAGCGAGAAATCACCCCCCGGGGGGATGGTCACGCCGCAATCCCTTCTCCTCCATTCTCCTCTCGGGATCTTGGGCACGCACGCACACGCGCCCGGCGTGAGTTTTAAGCCACTGGATCCGGGACACGAACCGCGGTCGACTACGTGGGAGTCCAGCGACATAGCCATGACGCTAACTGCTGGTTCCCAGTTTTTTATTGTTTTTAAGAGAGATTTTTGCTAGAGGGTGCACCCCCTTGCTGAAGAGACAGCAACAGAGACAGAGAGACAGAAAGAGAGAAATCATCCCCCCAGGAGGGATGGCCACGCCGCAATCCCTTCTCCTCCATTCTCCTCTCGGGATCTTGGGCACGTATGCACACGCGCCTGGCGTGAGTTTTAAGCCACTAGGTCCTGGGAACCTCAATATTCCAGGGGAGGCCCCCACTCTTCTTATCGCTGCCCCGCCAGGGTGCCGACCCCCACATCCTGGCCAAGGAGCGGGAGAGTGCCCTGTCTCTCGCCAGTATGGGCGGCTACACGGACATCGTGGGGTTGCTGCTGGACCGGGACGTGGACATCAACATCTACGATTGGGTGAGTGTCACCCCGCCTTTTGGCCTCTGTTCCAACATTTGTCAACCACCAGGTGTGCTGTGCGTGTTGGGTACACAAAACAGACCTGTCGCCCTCACGTTTCACAGAGCCCTGGGAGAGACAGGAACAAAAATAGGCAACTGAGATGGAGTGGATAGTGCTGTGATGGCAGGTGCACTGGCAGCTGCGAGAGCCCAGAAGCAATCAAGGGAGGTCAGGGAGGGGTTCCTAGAGGAAAGGGTGTCAAAACTAATACCTGGGAGCTAGCAGGTGGCATGGTGGTTAAGAGTGCTGGACTCTCACATGGCCAACTTCAGTTCGATTCCCAGACCTGGCAGCTTGCTTTCTCAGGTTCTGTGATTCTCTCTCTCCCTCTGTCTGGTCAAACTGAAATAAATAAATGGATAAATAAAGTTAAATAAAATAATTATTAAAAAAAAAAAAAAACTAAGACCTTGGACCAGCAGATGGCATAATGGTTATGTCACTGGACTCCCATGTAGTTGACTGTGTTCAAGTCCTGCACCCAGCAGCTTAAAGCTCACTCCAGGTGCGTGTGCATGCGTGCCCAAGATCCCGAGAGGAGAATGGAGGAGAAGGGATTGCGGTGTGGCCATCCCCCCGGAGGGTGATTTCTCACTTT